AATTCCAGCATTTGGGAGGCAGAGGCAGGCAGATTTCTATGAGTTCAAGGCCAACCTGTTCTACATGTAAGTTCCAGGACAGCTGGGGCTACAGGGAGATCCTGTCTCAAAAAAAAAAACAAAAACAAAACAAAACAAAAAAAAACCAATAAAAGTGCCATGGTGGCACATGCCTATCATCAGAAGTTCAAGTTCAGGGCCCATCCTGGGATACATAAAATCCTGTCTGAAAAAAAAGAAGGGAGGAGGAGGAGGAGGAGGGGGAGGGGGAGGACGACAACACAGATTGTTCAGAGACACTGAGTTGAGACTACCCAGAGCACTGTGACCCAGGAGTAAGAGGCAATGAAGACTATCCAAGACGTTCCATTCCAGTGGGGAAACAGCTGTTTGTTTGATTTCATTTATGGTGGCAAAGATAAATTGAAAGTGATTTTGGAGGGAAGTAAATGATTTAAGGAAAGCCAGCATCTACCACCTTTCCTTAAAGAATAGTCGTTATTATGTAGTACTGAACACAGATTGCCTGTAATAACTTAGCCAGTTGCACTCCTGTCTTTATTAGGAATTGTTGTAAAGTAGACAGGGCTGAAGGTCACAGAATCATATGGCTTCCACAGTAAATCAGCAGCCTGTCACTGCCTGAGGAAGCTACTGCTCCTGTTGAGGAAACACCACCCGGAAAGCAGAAGGGGTCTCGTGGCATGATTAGCAATTTGTCATTTTGACTTTCCTCTTCCACTGCCTCACAGGTTACAGGGTCACTTTTTAAAGAATCACACGTGATTTATATGGAAATAATTATTCAGCTTTGGGGGAATTTTCCCTCTTTGCTCTTTTCCTTGCTTGGCTCTTAGAAATTCGAATGGTGCTAAAGTAAATATTTCTTTTTTAAATGCAGTTTAAAAGTCCTTAGCACATGTGCGTTTGCACTTTCAGTGTCCGCCAGCACCCGATGACTCAGTCCTCATAGGAAAAAGACCTGCAAAACAGGCTTCTGTGTCTCGCTGCTCTGTTGCCTGTTCTTTGGGAAAGGAGGTTGGCAGAGAGTGTCTTGGGTTCATGGTCTGACATCGCAGAAGGCTGAGACATTCTCTTCAGCACTAGGATCTGTGTGATCTCTCCTGAGCCTTGGTAGTGTTTAAAATGGTAGAATAGGTAAGATAATTGTAGGGAAAGTAGTCACTGTTTTCCCTGTGTAGATTGATACTTGAAGATCTGCTGAAGAGTCCCAGAACTAAGTAAATTGATGCTAGCAAAACTTAAAACAGGAACTTTGGGAATTTCACCCCAGAAGCCTTTTTTTAGAAACAGCAGAGTGAAAAATCCAATTAGAAAGAACTTACATGTGCGTATCTTTCCTGAAATAACAGCTTTTGATGTTTAACTTATATCAAAATATTGGTACCTTTCACATTTTAAACAGTAGACATGAATTGTCTGTGAAATGAGTTCAATACATTTAGGATATTCCTATGATGTTTATAATAATAGATTTAAAAACATACGCTAGGAACTTCTAATAGAAAGTTCTTTGCACGGTTAGCTTCAATAAACAGTACTAGGGTGTTTTGGAATGCCAGACAAAATAATTTCAAGTGAAAGAATTGTTAGTATGGTCTCTTTTGGTTTTGTTTTTAAATAGCCTCTTGCTGTGTTGCTCTGACTGGTCTGGAACTGTGTAGCTCAGACTGCAGCGATCCTCCTGCCTCACTGTCAGGAGTGCTGAGATTGCGGGTGTGTGCTGCAGTCTTTGGAAGTATCTGCTGTACTCCCCTGTGGTTGATGGCATCAGAGAACAGCCTTTGCAGTCACAGGTTCAGGGCTCTGAGTGCTGTGATCACAGCACAGATTCCTGAGTCAGAGTGCTCGAGTTCCAGCCCATGCGAGGCACCTTCACACTCCTATGATCTTTTTTTTTTTTATTAAATATTTTATTATTTTCATGTTATGTGTATGAGTGTATTGCCTACATGTATGTGAGTGCACCCATGTCGTGCAATGCCGTGGAGGTCACAAGAGGGCTTCGGATTCCCCTGGAACTGGAGTTAAGGACGGTTCGTCACCGCCATGTGGGTGCTGGGAATGGAACCCGGGTCCTCCGCAAGAGCAGTCAGTGCTCTGAGCCATCTCTCCAGACCCTCACTCCTATGATCTTAAACAAGTTATTTAATTTCTCTGAGCCTCCATTTACTCATTTATAAAAGAAGTGAAGGATCGCTATCTGTGGAGTTACTGTGAGTTAATGAACTAAGCTGCATTAAACCCTCAGGCTGATTAATACCTGGCTTACAGTGAGATGAATATTAGATGTGTTTCTGTTAGTATTAGCAGGACAGTGTTGAGGATTCATGA